GCTTGACACAATGGATGGATGTATGGATTGTGATAAGAGTTGTACGAACCCCCAGTAAAATGATTTTTTTAAAAGACCAGTTAATATGGCTATCATTCTGATTTTTACTACAACCACTAATGCCAAAGAAATAAAAGAATTTTTAACAGCTTCTGTGTTCTGAAGTTCATCAAATACACAGTCAAGATACATTTATAATTGCTGGTGAAGAGAATGTGAAAGTTGGAAATTATGAAGGATCAGTTTGGAAAATGTGTCCTTGGTGACAAACAATACTGGAGATTACGAGATAGAACTATGCAGTAGCAAGTTCCTGTTTGTGTTAGTATGGGTAGACTAGAGAAACAAACCCCAAAACACTCATGTGTATAAGAAAGAGCTTTATATATAGGAGCAATTGAATATTGAGAAAACATCCCAGTCCAGTCCACATCAAGTCCATAAGTCTTATATTAGCCCATATGTCTGATACCAATCTATAAAGTCCTCTTCTGACTCAAGAAACACATGAAATGATGCCGAATGCAGGAGGATCACAGGCCAGTGGGTGGGAAGTCTTGTGGATCCAGTGGCAGTAGAGGCATCTCAGCACTGACAGGGGTCTCCACGTGGTTCCTTCATCTCTGAGGCTCTGGTTCCCGTCAGCCTATCCATGTGTCTTCTCAACAGGGATGTCTGGAAGGGAGTGAGCAGAGAGAGCGCCTGTCTCTTGCCTCCAAGAAGTTCCTAGAATCCTCAGGAGAAGACCATTCCCACACGCAGGCCTCATTGGCTATGACCTGATTGACAGCGTAGACTCCACCCCTACACTCTTAATCCTCAAATTGACACGAGATTATATAACTACCACACTGTTTGTTGAATACTGTATTCCTCTTTTCAACAATATAAACTGTGACTGTACACGTAGGCTTCACTAGATGGAATACACAGGAATCTAATCTGCAACATCTTTGGAAAGAGACAAGGAGAAGCACAGTAACATCCGTTAATCAGAACAAGGCCTCCTGTGAACTGGAGCATTAATTGTTCAGAGGCAAGCTCAAGAAAATTCAGTCAAGCCCACAAAAGTGCAAATAAGTGTTGCGTATATTTCCCACCTGAATCTGTAGTGGCAATCTCAAGAATAGATTTGAAGCATTGAACACTGTCCTAGGGGAAATCTTCACAAAGTTCTAACAGTGAGGAAAAACAAAATTCGGCATCTGTGGTATGTCTGACCAAGTCCAAAGAGAATACAGGGTTGGCAGTTTATATACAGAGTTGGTAGTTGTTTGGTTACTTCAAAAGATAAGCTAAATATAGTCAGGAATCTTTTGTTGATCTATGACATCAGAATTGGGGAAGACAAAGGATAGATAAGCTGCCTCATACTTCCTTGTCTTTGTCTTGGGGAGGGGAGGGGGGACTTCCGGTAGTCGACCTTTCCTATTCTTGATTTATGTTTGTGCTTCATCTGTCTATCTTACTCCTGGGCAACCTGCTCATTCTTGCCTTCTCTGACTACCAAGGAGATTACTCAGAGCTACTGCTCGTCTCTGTCACATTGTAACTTCACCTTGAAGGTTTGGTGGTCAGAAAGTGAATGTGAGATAGTCCAGATAGCATTAGGACTATTTTAAGACTTGGGATGAAACTGGGGCTTTGTCGGGGGTTCCTTTGATTTTAGGCACTAAAGCAACACTAATAAAACCAAATAACCTGTGCCATGACATCTTTTATAAGCCATCTTGTTTCTTTTATCCTGATTTTGTGAAGTTCACAAATCTATGTGAGTTCCTTAAAAATCTCAATTGGGAATTGAATTTTTGAAATCTGTGGGTTGATGATTTTCATCAGTTGTTCTTGACATCACCTTAAACAGTGCCTCTAACATTTTATCCCTCTTCTGGAAGTATGCTCAAATATATCCTGTTCTCATTAGGTACCCTGGAGTCAGTTCCAACTCATAGCTCAAACAAAACAACATTACCGAGCCAGGTGCCATCCTCACAATTGTTGCTGTGGTTAAGCACATTGTTGCAGCCACTGTGTTCCGTTTATTGAATTTCTGTCTTCCTCTCATTACTGATCCCTGCACTTGACTTGATTCATTCTCCAGGAACTGGTCCCTCCTGATAACATGTCTGAAGGATGTACAAGATCTTACCATCTACCTTTCCTAGGAGTATCCTTAGCAAAGATTTTCTCAGTTGGGCCAATAAACAGACATATGTTACACTTCCTCATTCTATTGTTACTTGTCTCTAAACCCAACCCCCTTTCTCCCCTTTAAAACAGGTTTATTGTGATATATCATGAGTTTCATTTTTTGTACAGACCTAGTAATGTATGTACGTATGCATATTGGGTAGGAGGATGGAACTTGACATTTTTCAATCTACTGTATCCTGTTTTTGCATATAATATGCTCATGCCAGAAACATAAGCACACATTTAGCACTCAGTGTTTCTAAGAAAGAACACACTAGGGAATTGCCTGATTTGTTTAGAAATCATGTAACATGTTCTTTGTATAAAAATAGAATACTCATCTCCTTGAATAGACTTTTTCCTGTTCCTGTTTTGAATGACCTTAGAACTCCTGAATGGTTGAAAGAAAATATAATCATTTTATATCTCTCACCACGTTTCCCAAATTTCCCCATTTCTCCTTTCTCCTGCTCCTCTTAGTTTTGTTGGGTAGCACATTTCCCCCTTCTGAACCCTCATACTCTACTAGGCTTGGCCTATTTCACCTACACTTCTGATTTTTTTTTTTGCATTGAGTTGTTAATATGTTCTGCTACTTTATTTTTTATTGCATCTTTAAATTGTGTTATCTTTTTGCTTTTGTTTGTACTTTCTCTGTTGTTTTCCTTGTGTATTTTTGGTAGAGGTTACCTGTTTTGCCAGTCTTTGTAAAAGCCAAAGCATTGTTTTTCTTAGTGGATTTTGGTTTTTGCTTTTACCTTTATTGCTTTCCTTTGGGTTTATCCTCTCGTCTTAGTCTCCTAAAACAGACATAACCACAGTGGGTGAATGGATTGAAGTCTGAATTCAGGGTGTCAACTCTAGGGGAAGGGTCCCCTCTTTTGGGTTCTTGTAGGTTCTATCATCATGTGTCCCATATTTGAAAAGAATGATGTGTTAGACTGGGTTGACTATAGAAACAAATCCAGGGACGTGTGTGTAAGAAAGAGCTGTATATCAAAGAGCAATTGTATATTGAGAAAACATCCCAGCTCAGTCCAGATCAAGTCCCTAAGTCGGATATTAGCTCATATATCCATACTAGTCCATAAATTCCTCTTCAGACTCACACAGCGCATACAATGTTACCAAATACAGGAAGATCATAGGCCAGTGGGTGAAAACTATTGTGGATCCAATGGCAGTAGAAGTATCACAGGGCTGTCTCTACAGGTGCCCACCCCATGGCTTGCTCAGGTCTCAGCATAGCTTCACATGTCTTGTCCACACATAAGACCAAGGTAAAGAGTGTGGCCCCCTCCTCTAGGGAGAAGGGAATTTCCCAGAATCCTTGAGAAGGCCACGCCCACCAGGAGGCATCATTAAGCTGTGACCTGATTGACAGGCTAAACTCCACCCCTTATATCAAGTTTACATGAAATTATGTAACTACCACAAATTAATATTGTAGTTACATGCAGAAATCAACATGTGTTCATTAAGTCAAACTCATTATATATATTGTTCAAATCTTATAAATCATTTTCTTGATAGTTTCTTGTTTGATTTACTGTACAATGCTAGAGTAAAACGTGTTAATCTTCTCCTGTGATACTAGATTTCTCTAATCCTCCCTATCTTTTGCTTTATATATTTTGAGATATTTTATTCAGTTAATTTAAAATTATTACAACATATTGGTGGATCAAAGAGGAGGCTTCCATGTTAGAATAATGAACCGTTTAAGATCAAAAGGACAAAGGAAACGGTTAGGAAAGGAGGAGGAATGGAAACAGTTACAGGAGTGGGGGTGGGGTAGGGTTAGGGGATAATAGGGAACTGCAATGATACTTGAAACAAAATGCATTAATTAGTGAATGAAAAACTGATAGATCTGCCCCATAAACCATCACCTAAATTACAATTAAAAGTTTTTTCAAAGTTTATGTAAAACATTTTATTATCTTTTAATTCCATTTCCCCACAAATATTCTAAGCCCCCTCAGAATGATGCAATAACTCGCCCAACCTTATTGAAGTTTAGAGTAACTTTTCCCTGCGTATACAATCTTATTAGAATTTGTTTGGTATCTTTTTCTGTCCTTTTACTTTCAACCATCCCATGTTCTATTTATCTTAGAAATGGCATATACCCACAGCCTTTGAGGCAATTCTGATTTACAGTGACCCTATATAGCAGCGATTCTCAACCTGTGGGTCGTGATCCCTTTGGGGGTCAAATGACCCAATTCATAACCGTAGCAAAATTACAGTTATGAAGTAGCAATGAAAATAATTTTGTTGGGGGGGTCACCACAACCTGAGGAGAACTGTATTAAAGTGTCCCAGCATTAGGAAGGTTGAAACCCACTGCTATATAGGGTTTCTGAGGCTGTTAGTCTTTACCGGAGCAAACAATCTCAGTGGAGGTGCTGATGGATTGAACCACTTAGCAGTTCAATGGTAACCCAACAACGCTAGGGTTTTTGTTGTTGTTTATTAAATCTGACATTTTTGTTATTTGAATAGTCCACATGCAAGGTTTTAAGCTTATAATGGGAATTTCAGAATTAGCTTCTTTCTGCTCTTTCTGAAGCAGTATCCATACAGCTCTGTTGATTGCATAATCTGAAACACAAGACGTAAATAGAATAATGATTCTGTCTTAGTTGTACTGTCATCTCTAAGTGTATGGTAAATAATAATTGTTTAATGAATTAGAAACATTAAAGAAGCATTTCCATATATGCACTTACCTTGAAATTATTTCATGCTTGTAATAATGTGTTAATTTATAAGCTATTCTTTAAAATTATGTTTTGTTTTAGTCCCAGAAACCCTGGATAGAAAGTACTTTGACCAAGAGGGAATGTGTATATATTATACCAAGTTCCAAGGACCCTCACAGGTAAGCATACTTTGTTTCCTCTAGGATCTTTTAGAAACACAGATGTATATTATTGGTGTATATTAGTAAAAAACAAAAACCTAAATCACTGCCATCAAGTCAATTCTGAAACCCTCATAGAAACCCTATAGGATTGTTAAAAACAAAAACCACTGAAATTATTTGTAGTTAGTTTTCTTTTGGGATTGGATAGGAGACATAATTAGCAAGAAAACTAATATAGGAATTCTTATTAACACTGCAGCATAAAATCACTTTTCCAAAGTGCTCCCCTCATCTCTATAAAGTCTCAGATCAGACTATTTTATTACAAAGATCATGGCAACTAGATTATTTATTGTAACCGATTCACTAATCGTGACAGCTGAAAGCTTTTTGCATCTCAGTTTTTGAGCATGTCCTTAAAACATGGTTCATGCTGAAGAAACCGATCTGAACTTAATAGTTCTTGTTTTTTATTTATTTTTCCAGAGGAGAATTATACTTAGGCACACAACCAAAACATCTGACTGCCACATCGAGGAGGGCAGGGGTACAGGAGGGCCGCCGGGTTAACCTCAGGGCCCCTTAGTCCTGGGTGGAGGAGTGCCAGTGTGGGCAGACCTGGGCAGTCTTTGTTGACAGAATAATTCATGTTTTTAAGTTACTTGCTTGCCAATATGTAGATCAGCATTTAATGGAAAAAATCCACTATCAGAGACCATAAGCTTCTATGATTACCTTTTTGGTCTTCAAAAATGCTTTGACAATAGAAAATAAATAAAATTAACTTATAAAACAAGCAAAAGTCTACTTCTTATGGTACTCATTTAAAAAAACTTTTTTTTTAACTAACGCTTGATTGTTCTTCTGAGGCTTGAAAATGGAAAAAGCTTAAAAAGACAAATCCATGGTAGAATTAATTCATAGTTTACAAACCCCTCACTATAGCCACTGAGGAAAAACTATTTGACTAAGGATTTGCCAGGTTTTTGGATCTTTTTGCCTTTCTCATCTGTCAAACCTTTGCCCATTCCTCTTACCTTCTCTGCAACTTTCCTTTCCATTTAATATGTGGTTCTTATAAGAACTTACTAAATAGATTTTGTAAAAATTAGCTCCCAGCTAAACCATGTCACTACCATCGGGTCGTTGTAGAGACCCTAACAGGACAAAATAGAACTACCCCTTTGGGTTTCCTAGACTGTGAATCTTTATGAGACCAGAAAGCCTCATCTTTCTCCCTTGGGGTGACTCCTGGGTTCAGCTGATCAAGACTTAACCTACTGCGCTCCTTGTAAATTAGCTAATATCTCACATTTCCATTGTAAGAGTAATTAATAAACCAGATGCATTTTACAAAGCGTTGCGAAGTAGAAAATTGACCAGTACTGAGAATTTCAGCACCTCAAACTCAACCCCCAAAACAAACTCCCTAGCACTGAGTTTGTTCTGACTCATGGGGACCCTTACAGGAACAGATAATCTTCATCTTTTTCTCAAGGACCAACTTGCAGGTTTGAACTGTCAACTTTGCTCAGCCCACAGTTCCACCAGGGAGCCTTCACACCTCAAAACAGTTATCATTAATAGCATTTTGAGAGATGTTATTTTTTATTTCTTTAGTCCCCAATGTTATTGTTACAGATCATTTATATGTAAAATGTCATACTACTTTTCTGTAAAATATTATTGTACTTATATTTTACTGTATTACAGATATTTTCTAAAAATGGTAGTTAATATGGTTATGATATATTTAACCATTTATATATTTAAAGTTTTACATAAACGTTCCACTATAAGCAATTCAGCTTTCAATTTTTAACTATTAATAGAATTAAAATTTGGCCATAATGAAGATTCTTTTTTTTGTTTTGTTTTCAATTTTTCTTTTTTAATCATTTTATTAGGGGCTCATACAACTCTTACCACAATCCATACACACATCAATTGTGTAAAGCGCATTTGTACATTCATTGCCCTCATCATTCTCAAAACATTTCCTCTCCATTTAAACCCCCGGCATTAGGTCCTCATTTTTCCCATCCCTCCCCACTCCCCGCTCCCTCATGAGCCCTTGATAGTTTATAAATTGTTATTTTGTCATATCTTGCCCTGTCCGACGTCTCCCTTCACCCACTTTTCGGTTGTCCGTCTCCCAGGGAGGAGGTCATATATAGTTCCAAGTAATCGGTTCCCTCTTTCCTACCCACTCTCCCTCTACCCTCCTTGTTTCACACCACTGGTCCTGTAGGGCTCATCCACCCTGGATTCCCTGGATTTTCAGTTCCTATCTGTACCAGTGTACATCCTCTGGTCTAGCCAGACTTGTAAGGTCGAATTCGAGTCGTGGTAGTGGGAGCGGGGAGGAAACATTTAGGAACTAGAGGAAAGTTGTATTTTTCATCGTTGTACATCGCACCTTGACTGACTCATCTCCTCCCCGAGACCCCTCTGCAAGGGGATCTCCAGTGGCCTACTAATGGGCTTTGGGTCTCCACTCTACACTCCCCCCATCATTCACTATGGTAAGATTTTTTGTTCTAATGATGCGTTATACCTGATCCCTTCGACACCTCGTGGTTGCATAGGCTGGTGTGCTTCTTCCATGTGGACTTTGTTGTTTCTGAGCTTGATGGCCGCTTGATTACCTCATAATGAAGATTCTTGTGGATGAAACTTTTTGTTTATTTAATGTCCTTTCCTTAGTATAAGTAATGCCACAAAAGCTTTCCAAAAGGATTGAAACAGTGTAAGTTAACAACAGTGAGTGAGAATTTTTGCTTTACTCAATACTGACTAGGTTAACATCCATCATCTTCAAGAAAAGATGACAAATAGAAAATAATACCTAATAAACTGAAAATATTAAGTCATTTGAGTTTAAAAATTTTTAAATCTACATTTACTTGATTACTATTGACAACATTTTTTGTGTCTTTTTTTCCTTAACATCCCTAATTTTCTAGGGATAATTTATGTAAATGTATTTGATTAGTTTTGTAATTCAGATAGATAAACTTAAAAAGTTTATCTTCAAAACTCCGAAATCTGGTTTATTTTTAAAAGATAATTTTAATTTTAATCTGTTTAATAAAAATGTTTTTATTCAGCATCAAATTATATTTTTTAATCAGAAAGGATAAAAGTCATATCCAAGGTCGCATGGCTGTTATTTCATAAAATAAGGTTCGAATTTAGGTCTCCTTAGTTCTGTGTGCTAGTTAAGTTCTAAGACTTTTTTTCATTGAGAGAAAATTGTTTTAGTTTATTAAAAACTAAGTATATCATCAATGAGCTTATTTTTCTACAGTTTTATTAATTTCATTTTTTCAATAGAAGCAATATAAGTTTGTATATGGTATGTAGAAATTGTATTAAGTATCCTCTGCCTTAACTATACATTTGTTACATATATCAACAAAAGGTTACTATATTTTTCCACCTATGACGAGCTCACATAAATCATGTGCACATGGAATAACATGCATAGCACACATGGGAAACTCACTCATGAGGAGGTTGTGAAGTTTGTGAAAACCAAGTGTACTACCATAGTTGTTTTTTGTGTTTTGTTTTTGTTTTTAACTTTTATTTTAAGCTTAATTTACTCCCAAGCCATACGTTTTAGTTTTCTTCTGGGAGATCTTTTCCTTCTGCACAACCTCCTCTTCTGGTTTAGGGACAATTTGTTCCTTTTCGTGAAGGCTCATTTCTGTGTGGTAGGGGAGCTCATGGATGGGTTGATGTGACCAGCAGCTCTGTCAGTCTGGCGGTGCATCTTGGGGGCTTCGTTCACCTGGATGTGCTCAATGACCACAGAATCCACATCTAAACCCTTAAGTTCAGCCTCGCTATCTGCATTTTTAAATATGTGCAACAAAAAATCAGTACTCTTTAGGGCCACCGACCCAGGGTCCAACCCCACTATTTGGCCTGGGCACCCAACTCCACCATTGTAACTTTGGAAGGGCACTCACTCCTTCTGCAAAGTGAGGTCTTTCAGACACTTGGTGGCTTTCTGTATATACATACCCTTGATGTCATGGGAAGTTTCCTAGATGTTCTTAAAATGAACCTGGAGATTTGGCCCTCTTGATTTGTGTGATTTTGTGGGGTTCTCTGAGTCTAATGTGTAGTGAACCATTTTGGCAGATCACCTTAGAATGCTACTGGAAGAAGTACCATACTATTTTTCGTAAAAATATGGTGGTACTTTATATACTCGTTGGATTTTCTAATTAATTTTATGTGATTAGGTCATTCATTTACCTGATTAAAGCTTTATGAGATAACAGAAGTTGTAAATCTTCTTCTCTTCATTGTTCCATAAATACCAACTTACTCTTCCTAGACACAACTGATATTGCAGATTCCTTGAAATTTCTTTTAAAAATAAGCATAGTCTTCTCCAAGGAGTAAGAGCTCCCCTGGACCACCAGCCCCAGCAATAGCACTAGAGGAAGAGAGGCCCTCAGCTGCTGAGGAGTCTTTGCCCCTAATTCAATCCCCCAACACACGGAGAATATTCCATTCAGATCCCCTGAAGGAAGGGGAGGGGCTTAGAGAACTCGACCTTGTCATGCACCATCAATAAAGTACACTATACCCAGCAAAAAAAAAAAAAGGCATAGTCTTTGCATAAATAAGCAGATATGTGTATATCTCCCTCACCCCGTTTTTTAAACATATACTTTTTAGCAGGCGGGAATCCTGGGAGTGTAGTGGGTACTAGGTCTGCTAACCTCCAGATCAGAAGTTCTAATCT